ATATATATATATATATATATATATATATATATATATATATATATAAGTCAAAAAGTTACGAAAAAATTATGGAGAGTAGAGGAAAAAGAATTTACAGACTATATCTTCAACAGAAAGAAAAGAATACTGTTAAAAAAGGTAATATTACATTATTATATAAAGGTTCATATACATATATTTTTTAATACTTGTTGTTTTATGCAAAGTACCAATTAATGCTTTTTACTGTAGTTTTTATCACATACTTACAATATTGTTGGTTTTAGGTGTATTTCCTCCTAGTTCGTCAGATTTAAATACCCGTAAACTCAACGATTTATCCAATAAACAGTATTGTGCAGACATGCAGATACCATCGACTTCCGGAAATTTTGTCGGTAAGGGAATATTTATTTGACATTTCCAGCCTCGTTGACAAGTTAATATAATAATAATTTAAGATAATATTAAAGTTATCTAGTATTTTCTAATCTGTATTAATAATTATTTTGTAATATCGGTTATTTGGAGTGTTTCAATATCTCATAGACAGATAGACACTATGCATTGTCTAAATTTTAATAAAATTGTTCTCCAACGTTTTTAATATGAAAAAATTTGGTTTTGTGCTTTTGAGATATTTGGTATAAAATGAAAAAAACACATGGATACCATACGTAAGCCTGGCTGGAAAGGTTTATAATTTCTTAGTAGTAAATTTATTTTAATTTTACTACATATCTGTACCGTAGAGGTAAAGGGTAGTATATCCACCTAGTGAAGTTTTGAGATAATGGGAAAATAAGATGAGTTCCAGAAAATTATTGCAATCATTCTTAATCTGAAGACATATGAAATTATGTATTTATATAATTGTAACGTTATATATCAGTTAATCAATATTGTCCTACTGTGATAAAAAATTTGTTTATATATTGGATTATATTGGGACTTAAGGTCTTTTGCCTCGGCATGTACCAGCAGATAAAACAGTGTACAAAATGGTAAGTGCCTACATAAACTCAAACAAAAACACAAAAAATGATAAAAAAACATTTATTCATCATCGCTATCAACATTTTTTTTTGATAACAACTAAATTTCTATAGAACTCATAAAACCGACTGAAGATTCATTGTAAAAGTATTAATAAGTGATCCTTTTCCTTCTGTGTGATCCCTTTTGGTTTTTCGTAGCGTGAGCTTGGTCAGCTTCTAAATGAGTGTGTCCTTTCAGTAAATATTTATGGTTAACTACTTTCAAATGAGGGCAGATGTTCAAAAGCCAAAAGTAGCTCATCATTACCATAACATTCCGGTTTTGACTAGGGCAATTATCTGACCATATAACTAATTCTTCCACATCAGTTTGTGATAAAACTGTTATAGCCCATTTAGTTCCAGCTTCGAATTCATCCCAGATAAGGCAATACGATTTATTTTCTATGGCGTCGTATATCGTGAAATTTCGAGTCCATAATTTCAGCGTGTAGAAACTTTGGTCATTTGTCAAATAAGGCGTAGGTAAGCATTTCTGCAAATCACACATTATAATTTTAGTTTTTCCAGCTGATTGTCTGCTTTCCTTTTTATAGTTTGCTTTCATTTTGTATCGACTTTCTGCTTCTTGAAAATGCTGTTTATAAGTTCGCCGTAATGTTATTTTTTCTTGCTCGGAACAGTTTTTTAATTGTAGCATAAACCGATCGCAACTATCACAAGTATCCACGGAAACCGATTTAAATGCTAAATTAAAATCATTATTAAAAAATTTTTTATACAGCCATAATTTAACAATTTCATTCTTTGGAATGTGGTCTTCACACTTTATGATATATAATTTTAACATTTTTTCACGGCTTAATTTTAGTCCTAGATATTTCTTGGCAGTTTTGGATCGTTCTGTCAATTAAGGTAACTAACACTAGTATGGAGATACTGCTGTTTACCGCGCGCGAAATAGCGTAACCGATAAACAAATCCGACAGCTCATGGAGTTACTATGCTTTACCTCATTCTCCAAAGCATATACTACTTTTTCTTACAAGAATATCTAGGCCACCAGTAATATTTCACATACCATATTTTGCCACAAATAAGATTGGAACATATTAAGCTTAGCCACAGTATTAAGTCCAAATTAGAAAAAAATGGAGTTACTACCCTTTACCTCTACGGTACAGATATAGTTTTATATTTTTAGAAAGCAATGAGTCAGGAAGCGAAGCAGACGGATATGTGTCGTCCAGTGATGAATTCGTTCCTTCAGGTACGGGCTATTCGGATGAATCAGACTACTATGAAGAAACCACAAACAAAATGTTTTCCAAAAAAATACATGATGCTAAACGAAACATCTTTTCTGAAAAACTTCCTAACAAAAATTTGTTAAATGAAAAAAAGGAACAAAACATGAAGAATATAGACAACCAAGCAGAAGTGAATGCTGAAAATAAGACAAAGAAATTTCAAATAAAACCCAATATTGAAGACAGTCAAAGTGCGGTACATGTTACCGCAGAAGGACAAGGAGCTGATGTTTCCAAACCTCACAGGACGGCGAAAAAAATTTTTGAGCTTAAAGAGAAGAAAGCTCGTAAAAGAGAACGCAACCCTGTTGAATGGAAGAAAAAAAAGGCAGCAATACAAAAAGAAAAAGGGTTGGAATATGTTTCTCAAAATGGAAAAATTATACCAGCAAAAGAAATTGAGGAAGATTTAGTGTTATGTAAAGCAACATGCAGATTAAAGTGTGGAACCAAATTCAGCTTAGAAGCTAGAAAATCTATATTGAAAAGGTTTTATAATTTAGAAAATAACGCAAAAACCTGTCTTTTGTTTAAAAGCATTGACTTAAATCAAGTTTCAAGACACCGAATTCGTTCTGGAGGTAAAAAGCAGAAGTTAAGAGAATGTTCTTTTAAATACTCAGTAACTTACGACAGAGAAAAAATATCTGTCTGTAAGGATGCAATTTGTTCGCTGTACCAAGTTGGCTCAAAGAAAATATTAAATCTTCAAAAACAACTTAAACAAGGTCAATCAGCTCCAAGTCCAAGTAAACAAGGGCAACATACAAATAGACCTCACAAGATCGGTGAAGCGGTAGTAGAATACATTACTGAACATGTTCAAATGTTTCCAGCTGAGAGCTCTCACTATTCTCGAAACAAAAATCAGAATAGAAAGTATTTGTCACCATTATTAAATGTAACAAAAATGCATGAACTATACCTAAAAAGATGCGATGAACAACAAATTGGTGAAAAATACTTAGTTAAACTTTCCATGTATCGCCATGTGTTCGATACTAAATTCAATCTATCATTTGGATATCCAAAAAGTGACACATGTAGCACATGTGATTCTGGAGAAAATACTATAGAGCATAAAGAAAACTGTAGCATTGCATTTGAATCTCAAAAAGTAGATAGGCAAAAGCCAATAAGTGACAATAATATGTGCTACATCACAATGGATCTACAACAAACCATGCCGTTACCTAAGCTTTCAACATCAAGAGCATTCTATTTACGTCAAATGTGGCTGTATAATTTTGGTATACATTGCATAACTTCATCAGGATCAAAATCTTACTTTTTTACGTGGACCGAAGATGTAGCTAATCGAGGTAGTACTGAAATAGCGAGTTGTCTGTTTCGATTTTGTAAGCTTTTAAAAGAAGAAAATCCCCATATTAATCATTTGATCATATGGTCAGATTCATGTTCTGGTCAGAACAAAAACTTTATAATTGTAGGTCTATATCAATATCTCATTTTAAATGGATATTTTAAAATAATAGAGCACAAATTTCCTGAAGTGGGCCACAGTTATTTAGATTCTGACAGGGACTTTGGAAGGATAGAAAAAGTTCTGAGAAAACATCAGTCAATTTTTATTCCAGATCAATATCGTAACATTATCACGTCGGCAAGCACAAAAGGTAGCATTTGTGTAAATATGGAGAATTTTTTCTACGACTTTGAAGATCTGCTAACGAAGCTCTATTTATGTAAAAAGACAACAAACAGTTCAAATGAAAAGATTAATTTTCGTGATAATGTAAAATGGATAAGAGTGGACGAATTTGGATTCTATCTCTATAAGACATGTCTTAATGACTACATGCCATTTCAGCAAGTAGATTTAAGAAAAAAAAGGACAGCACATCTGACCAGAAGTGAATATAGACCAAGAAGACTGGAAAATAAAACTGGTGGTTTGAGTTTGGAAAAACTGGAAAATTTAAGAGACCAAATAAAATTTGTTCCCGAAGAGTACAGATGGTTTTATGAAAACGCGATAGAGGAAAATAAAGAAAATCCTAAAAAGAAAAGAAAAACCTACTAAAAAATTTATTTTTGTTAATTTTTCATTTTGTATTGTAAGTGTTTTTTGAAAATAAATGACCATTTTTTATACTTAACTCTTTTATCCACTGAACCCTAACATTTTTTAATTATTTTTAGTATGTGGATTAAGGCAATATGTCCACAAAATCTGAAATATTTGGCTTAAGGTAACTTTTTTTAAATTCAATTTAAAGTCTAAAAAAATTACCTTCAGATACCTGTTTAAAAAAGTGCAGCAATGCAAATTTATAAAATAAATAATTAACTTGGAACAAAAGACACTAAAATGGTCATTACTCAAAAATATCATTTTGTGACATATGACCTTTATCCACTTATGTCTTCATTTCACAACAGAAAATAGCTATAATCGAACTAGAAGTTATATAAGTGTACCTTCCTTGAAATTTTGATATGAATCACAAAACAAAAGCTACTTATATGAAACCAGTGAGTAAATTCAGTACGCACGTGTTATTTTGACACTACCGAACACAAATAGTTTATCAGATTTAAGACCAACAGTGGCATCTTGTAACTAGCAGCGAAACAATTGTTCCAGATTTGGAACATGGCAAGGAATGGGTTAATATAACTTTTATAAAGGAATTTTTTAAATAAAAATTTTACAAAACCATATTATTATAAAATAACTTGTTTCTCGCAGGTAACAACCAAAGGATGCAACCCCAACAGAATAAAACTGATCAAGTAACTAAAGTGAACACTATTCAGGTTAGTATTTTTTAAAATTAATTGCCTGGTAGATTTTAGAAAATTAATCTTGTTAAGTCAAAACTTTAAGACAAACTACTCAATCTACTTTATTGGCAGATATCATGGTGATCATAGGTCAATGGCTATGATACTTCATTACCAATCCTGATGGCCCTGGTTCGATAAATGTCACAGTCACGTCATTTTTCAACTTTTAATTTAACTGAGCTGCCACTGTGTGTGATAGGGCATGTATAGTCGGCACGTAATTTCGTGAGAAAATTTATAGGAACGAGAGCGAGTAAATTACTAGAAAATGGCAACAATGTTAGAATGACCACCACTTGTATAGATATCTACGTTACTGAACAGTAGCGTAGATATCTAATTTTAAATTAAATAAAAATTTTTATTTTTATTTAATTTTATTTAAGAAAAAGTTTCATTTTCTATAAAGTTTAAATAAAAAATATTGGTGTTGTTAACTTCTGTAATATATCTAGGGAGTTATAACACTAATCGGCTCGGCTAAACAGAACTTATTGTAAAATAATAATACCTATAATAAATTATTAATAAAAGGAATTATCACATACAATTAAACAAATTTTTTATGTACAAGTATTTTAGTATACAAACGTTTTAATAATACGACTGCTCATAAGTTTTAAAACTTACCAGCAAATTTTCCTGATAACTTAGTTATTGTAATAAGAAAATATACAGAATTCATTTTTTAAATTATATACAGGGTATTCTATTAACAACTTTGGTTTGACACCGTGAGAGAGAAGACTTAGTACCTCAATAATTTAAAAATGGGTAAAAGGTCTAAAACTTTTATGAACATCTTTTTTTATATATCTAGCAGGTATTTTATAATAACCTAACCTATACTTTGACTATTTTAAATTAAATACTTTGTACGTTTTTGTTCTATCATGAAGTGTATTTGTACTCTATTTTCAAAGATATATTAGCAAAACGAGAATATCTACAATTATAATAAAAATAAAGATTTCAACTAACACCTAGTTGGAAGTAAGAACTTACTAATGTACTCAGAATCACTGTTATCACTAGTATCACTCGTATCTTCTAAATTTATAGTTAATTTGGTTAATGCTGGTAAATATTTAACATACTCATTTTCCACTGCGATTACATGTTTGATTACATTTTTCCAGTTGGTTGCTGTGATCTTTGTGACTTCTCTTCTAATTAACTGGAGAGAGACAAAAAATTAGGAGCCACATTTCTTCTTCTATTTCCTTCGAGTTGAGTCCATATTAACTCTATTAGGTTCAATTTGCAATAGTAAGGAGGAAGTTCAAGCACGGTATGTCCATTATAGCGAGTACAGTTATCAACAACATATTCCTTCTGGTACTGTCTACTATAAACAACCTCCAACAATTGCTTTTTACTATATAATGCCTCAAAGTACAAATCTCTCTCAAATAAAAATTCTTGAATTTGTAATTTGTTTCAAGTAATATTTGGAATTTTCTCATTAATCTTGAATGATATGATACATTGTCCTTGATAATCACACTATATTTAGATAATCTCGGAAGAAGATATTCTTCAAACCATGACTCAAAAATTAAACTTTCCACATCCTCATGATAATCTAGAGACGCGTCTTTAATTTTTTTTGCAGATATTAATAATACATCATCGATCCATCTATTTGCTTCACCGCAGTGTAAAATTATAATTCTCTGTCCTGTCATGAGTATCACACAAGGTCCCATCTAAATAAAAACATTTCGTTTCATTTTTTGATACTCAGTTATCTGTCTGATAGATGTGTTTCTTAAAGAAATAATTATTCTAGTACTTCTAGTACTTTCCATTAGTGTTTGGCGTTTGTCTATAATTTTTTACTTTAAATTATGGGTTTTAAGAAATCATCAAAGTGTTGTTGCTGAGTATGAGAGAATGTCCTTTCGAATGTTCACTTCGAAGGCTTTCAATAGTTGGAAAAATATTAGCCGCATCCATTTTGTATATTGTTCTGATTATAGGTTCCCTTAGGAGCGGTTCTATTTGTCCGAATTTGCACAATCCTTTTTCTTCTGTCTAGAAGATGTTTCTCCTATAGTCTTGTAGCAGGTTGCTTTGGGCACAGTACATTTTACTACACGGCTTTGTAAAAATATTCCAATTGATTAGAGGATTCCACTGGCTTTTCAGCTGAAGAATTATTATCACACCACGGGTGCAACATTTTAAAAGTATCTTCGTATAATTATAAAGTTTATTGTTCTTTTACATATTTTTACGTACTTCCGTTCGTTGTGAGTTTTATAAAAACTAACTTCTGTTTTTTCTTAAAAAAAAAACGTTGAATGTTTACATCTATGGTTCCTGAGTTGAACTTTTTTTATACTTCATTTCCATCATATTGATAGCTGAAAGCATTTTAATTGACGCTCGTACTTCTTTTTCGATATATCTTTAATTTTTTTGCAGATATTAATAATACATCGTCGATGCATCCATTTTCTACACCGCTGTGTAAAATTATAATTCTGTCCTTTATTGGGCGGTACTGAATTAGAACACTTTTTGTTATTATTCATCCAACTTTTTTTCACGGTGTCCTGAGTACCATACCATGACAAACAAGATAACGCATTGGGATTTGTCGTAATAGCGATATCCGATGTTTCATTGGCTCTTGGTCCACGTGGACTGATCATCAATTCGACGATAACCTTATCTGGGCGACTGTCCATATTTTCAAACATAATACCTTAGACATGCGTGTCATTAGAATGGAAGATAACACCTTAACCACAAGTTGGTATAGGAAACCGATGGCCTCTAATAGGTTCCTTAACTATCATTCCTGTCATTCTTTCAATTACAAATTAATCCTAATTAAATCTTTAAGCTGCAGGCTAAATAGATTGACACATCCGGTTAATCGAAGGGAATCCCTTCAATTACTTAGAAATATTCTCATTGAGAATTCTTATCCTTCTTCTCTCATTAATAAATACCTTTTTGTACAAAGCTATGGTTCCTCTTGGAATGACATACCCAATGGTGACCAACTTAAAATAATATAAAATAATTCCATTAATGACACTGTTCTGCCTAGTACTGCACTTGGGACTCCTACCACCCATTACTCATCTCTACCTTACTTTCTTCAAGTTACTGACAAACTCATTAAACTGTAACAGAAGAACATACCTGTTAAAATGGCAGTTAAGAATGCCAAGACTGTTAGAAATTTGTTTTCAAAAACTAAAACACCCTTGTCCCTTCTGGAACAAGTTAATGCCATTTATCATATACCTTGTGCTGAGTGTGACTCGTGCTACATCGGTCAGACTGGGAAATCACTGAGAGGGCGTCTTACGACGCACCGCAGTGATATCAACTTATCTAAGCATACTTGGGCTCTTGCACAGCATGCTATCAACACTAAACACATAGTAGATTTTAATGAAGTTAAGATTCTTGGTTCTGAACGCAATCTCGTTAAAAGGCAGTTTTTAGAAATGTGTTCTATACTTAAACACCCTAACGCTCTTAATAAGAAAGAGAGTATTTCTTTGTTTAAGAAATCAAATTTAGTTGGGTTACGTTATTGTTTGTCCCAACTGTCACATGAAATCTTATTTATATAGAAGTTTTTTAACAATTGTTTCACCTTTTAGAATGTTATCGTTAATATTTGATTAAAACTTTCTCGTCTAAGACAAATTCTAAAAACTATTTTATAGCTACTGTTGATAAGTGTCGGAAAATTAAAATTTGGCGCATTCGCATTTCCGCCATCAGAGGCCACTTTTTTGGTCTCCTTTTCATAACGATTACATTCCCTTTTTTGTCTTTTTGCTCGATGATCAGATCCAACATGTAACAAGACAAATCTCGGACCTCTTTGTTTTGGATTATTTAGACCAGTAGTCAAGCCTTTTAAAAATGCATCCTTATAACTGGTTATAGGTGAATCCATCCATACCTTATTTACTGTATGTCCGCTATTTACCCAACTTTCATCCAAATATAAAATATTGTATCCTTGATTTCGATAATTCTGTATGGTTCTAAGAAATTTATGCCTCAAATTTATTATGTCAGGACGTTCCATCATTACTGCTTTCTTTCCTCTTTTTTCATAAACAAACCCCATCTCTCGCAATAGTCGATATAGAGTACTTTTGGAAAATTTAGGCAAATTTTGCCATTATGGCCATTTTTTACTAGGGTCAGCAAAAAGTTGATTATTAAAGTCGTCTATTTTCATTTATTCTATTCAAGTCATCATACTAGGATCTCAACAAACTTTTAATATATTTGAAATCATATTTATGATCCTTATCAATTGTTGAGCACTATATTACGACGACGTTCGAATATTTTCTGGAAGTCATTAGGGCAAATCAGTGAATGTTCTGCAATGTTGAGGCCGACGATGAACTAGCAACGCTGCAGCGTTTTCTTCCATTGGATTAACATTGTCCATAAGAGCCAACGCTGAAATCTATTGGTGAATCCGAGTTTAGTTCTCAAGTATGTATAGTGTCAAATCGTTATAATAAACATTAAACGTTCTTCTAATAAATTAGTCCAAGGGAAGAACTGGAAAATGAAAAATGCAGTCCATAAAACCAAAAGGCGGTCATGAAAATTGTGTGTAGCGGATGGGTGTAAGAACTTAAAAGGTGAGCGGCATATCATAGGCAATATTGCAGGCAGAAATTGCAGGAAGACCAATGCCTTATTTGGACTATAGCACAATTTATCAAACAATAAATTATTTTCCAATATCATGAATGATAAAAAAAGGATATACTATTCGCATTGGCTATGAGATTGCTAGATATTAGATACTCCTTTTGCCAGAAAATATGATATACAATTATTTAAAAACGTGGAATAAATGGAAAAAGTAATTCCAGAAAAAAAAAACAAAATTTTTCATAAGTTACAAACACAATTAAGTAGGTATATGTGAAATGAGGTAATACAGAACCCTACTCATCTGAAGACGAGGAAGATGTTATAGCATAACGATTAAAATATTGCTGGTTAATTTATTTTCAATTAGAATGTCCAAATCATCCTGATTTTATTGATTTGGATCTTATTTGTTAATTTTATCTAATTGTTACAATATTCTCCTTCATAGAATATACTGAACGAACTAATTGAACATATACAAAATGCATTCAACGAAGTATATATAAAAAGCTTGGTGATCTATGTTTAAACTGCAATCTTGTTTAAAAGTAATCATGGTAGAAAAAAAAACTTCTACAATATTTCCCAGATATTTGTCAATACATAAATTCATCACATTATTTTTGTTCTTAGGTTATGACAGCTGATAGAAGAGAGTATAGTAGGAAACCAGGATTTCCAGATCTCAGTGTTCCTCCGCCAGCTACATTTGAAAACTTCGAACCGGAATATGGATTTAATCCCGAACCAGAACCTTTTTATGGTGCTGGTTATGAACCGACACAGGACGTTCAATGGGGTAAGAGTGTTATTTTTTGTAGAGAAAAACAAAAATATATAGAGAAAAACAAAAATATATAAAGTAAGGAACCTATTTTTACCAGTTTCTTTTAATAAATTTAGTATATCACAATACTTATTACTAGACTTCGGCAAATATGCATATTGCATATTTTGCATATTGTGCATATTTTATGCAAATATTTCATATTTTGGCATATTTGTATAAAAGTTTACATAAAGTGCATAAAAGTTCAGATTTTTATACTGTATTTGAAAATTTTTAAACATACCAATTTATTTCAATTCTTGTATAAAATTTTGTAGTCATTTTAATCAAGAAATGATCTAAGTACGTAATCTCTACAGGTACAAAACATTTACAATTTCAAAGAAGATCAATTTAAGTAGCCCTCAACATTCTTAGAAAGTCTCGGTCACTGAGGCATTCAGTTATTGGATAATCGCTAAGGGTTCGCTCATTTGCATTTTATGATCTAATCCCCAAATCTATCTACAATTTATTGTATCTTAACAGCAGGTAAACGGCTAATAGTTTTGTTCCTAATTTAGGGATTTTCCAAAATCTCCCAGTTTATTGAATTAGGTACCTAAACATTTCTAATTTGATGCTCAGATTTGTAAATCATTTTTGTTTTGATATTCAAAGCGTAAACACTCGTTGTGCGTAACAAAAAGGAAGATTGTGATTTTATAATGCCTAAAACAACCAGTGCTTCAACTTGGATTAAACCTTATAAAGAGCTGTCTATGGATATGGGAAAAATCTACTGTTCAGTCTGTGGCAAAATTGTAAGTATCTAATATTTTCTATTAAATATCTAATATTTCATACATACAGGGTGTTTCCAAATAACACTTACAACGTTTGACTGTAGATACTTCTCGAAAAATTGAACAAAACGATATAGTTAATGAGGGGTCAAACTTATTTACTTTTCGAGATACAGGGTGTTAAAATTAAAAAAAATTAAATTCTTTTAGTTAATAACAACAATAACTTAAAACCAATAAACGTATTTACTTGAAATTTAGTACTCGTAGGTTGTTTTTAAATGAAAAATAGCTTCCTTTAGTGAGAAAAAATTGTCCATGGTACAATACAATGGTGTGTATTTAGAAAAATTTTTCACCTTTACTTTTTTTTATGAAGTCAGCTATTCTAAAACACAACTATTTTTATTGTAATTGAATTAACAAAAAAAAAAAACTTTTGTTGAATTTTAAAGTAAGTTATATCATGTACTAATGGTTAGTAACAAAAACTAATTTGTGGATTAATACTGCATTTAAAACACTTAGCGAGTGTTTTTTTTTTCTAACCAGTTATTTGATTAACCAAAAACACCTTGTATATTTTTATATTTTAAAGGTTGGGTTAAAATAAAGGTTTTTATTTTTATTTATAGATAGCATGTGAGAAGAAATTTCAGATAGACCAACATGTGAGAACTGCTTCACACATTGCAAAAAAAGGAAAAATAGGAAGAAAACAGCAAACTTCAATGGCTAAATGTTTCCAATCTACTTCAAAAAAATTAGATGAACAAGAAACTTTTAATGAAGACTTGTGTCGCGCATTAGTGTCTGCAAACATACCGCTTTCAAAATTAGCAAATGTAAATTTTAGTTCGTTTCTAAAAAAATATTGCAAACTTAATGTTCCAAGTGATCGGTCTCTAAGAAGAAATAATGTGAACGGGCTATACTCGTCGGTGTTAATTAATATTAAGGAAGAAATTGCAGATAATTATTTTTACATATCTGTAGACGAAACCACTGATTCCTCAGGAAAGTATATTGCTCATTTATTGATTGGTGTTCTTAAAGAAGATACCTCACCAAAATCTCATCTTATTTCATGCCAGCAACTTGAGAAAACAAATGCTTTAACAATTAAAGAAGAACATTCAGAAACAAATGCTTTAACAAGAAACATTAGCAACTTTTTTTCTTCCGACAACTATTCCTTCTAATAAATTACTGCTTATTTTATCGGATGCTGCTTGTTATATGGTGAAAGCAGGACAAAATTTAAAAATATTTTTCCCAGATTTAATACATGTTACTTGTGTAGCGCATGCATTAAACAGAGTTGCAGAGGAAATACGAAAAAAGTTTCCTCTTGTAAATACCATGATATCCAGTGTCAAAAAGTATTTCTTAAATCTCCTATAAGAATTCAACTTTATAAAGAAATGCTACCTAACATTCCTCTTCCACCACAACCTATTTTAACGCGATGGGGAGCATGGTTAGAAGCAGCTAATTTTTATGCAGATCATTTTGTTAAAATAAAGAACATAATTGATACGTTAACAGATGAAAGTTCCCAATCTCTTTTGGATTCTAAACAAACTTTTCAGAGTAACTTACTTCAACAAGAACTTTCATTTATAAAATCAAATTTTAGTTTTGTTCAAAAAACAATTAGAAGTTAGAATCACCAAAACTGTCATTGTTCGAAAGTACAGCATTAATAAAAGAATTTGCGTCATGTTGTCGGAACGTTAGAGGTAATATTGGAAAAGATATTTTAAAAAAATTTGAAGCTACTATGGAAAAAAATAAAGGTTACCATATTCTTTCTGAAGTAGTCAGTGTTCTAGCTGGAAATATTTCGGAAACAATTAATTTAGAACCAAATGCTTTGTATGTACATTTATATGTACTCAGACAGAAGCCACAAGTTTTTGTTAGAAAATTTTGAACACCACTTGGCCATTTATTGTTACCATAATTCTAAATAAGTTTATTCATACTTAAAAATGATGTAGTTACTTAAAATAAATGTAAATCTTAATGAATAGTAGGAAATATTTAGTTATGTACACTTTTTTTTTTTAAATAAAATTGTTCCTATTTTACGATTTTTTTATTTATTTTTATGCATATTTTGTGAAATATTTGCATAATTTCGGGTAAACACGTGCATATTTATGCGCATATTTTCTACATTTTTATTTGCATATTTGCCGAAGTCTACTTATTACTCTATTATTATATTATTTACATATAGATTGAAATCCATTATTGCTATATTTTCAATTTGTTGTTCTAATAATAATCACCAATAGCTTTTACTTATGAGTTTAGGTTGAAGTCAATATGCTCTTTGAATAAAGTTGTAAAATTTGAATGAAAGTAGCATTGTTATTCAGTTCTTATGGAAGGATTGTTATCATCATCGTTATGTGCTAGGGACCAAGTTATGTGTCAATATTCTTAAGCTTATTCCTCCATTCGGTCCTATCTCATGCAGCTTGATGAATTGAGAACATGGACCTGTATGTCAATCTCATCTACACTATCTCTCCATGTCAACGCTGGGCTACTCCTTTGTCTAGTTTCCTTTGCTTCATCAATAGAATTTTTCTTGTTAGACAGTGGATTCTAAGGTGTTTGATTATTCAAAAATAATTTCTATTTGCGAACGTTATTCTTCGATTTATCTTCTGATTGCTTGTAGTGTTTACCATGCTTCCTAGATAACGAATATGGTTGGACAAAGTGACGTGAACATTTTCCTAAATTTATAGGTCGTGTGAGCGACAACTTCCAGTCATCCGCATATGCCAATATTTGGACAAATTTGTTTAATATTGTGCCCCGACTGTTTAATTCTGCGCATCTCTTTCAACGTTTTTAAGCAAAAATTTTCAGAGTAGCTAACTAACTATTCTTTACATGTATCTTTTGATATTATCATCTTTACCAATATTATCAGTTTGACAGAAATTCAGAAGTGTTGCATTTGTTCATAAATCTTGTTTTGGATGGCACTACTATATACTGGTATAAAATCTTCTTCTATCTTCCTGTGCCCGGCACATTAATCTCCCGATGGCTATCAAATTGGCTCTATTAATTTTAAATTAAATTAAATTCTTTATTTTCTTTTTGACAAACATAGTTTGTATAGAATTAGTCATAAATATACATTCCTCAAACTAAACACTAAACTAGACTAAACAAGACATGAAATGAATTTAACAGCTAAATGAAATACAGCTAATATCTAAGATCTAAAAAATTCTTCGATTGTATAAAACACTTTTTCACATAAAAATTGCTTAAGATTCCTCTTAAATACATTTATTGAACTGGTGGACTTTACAACTGTGGGCAAATGATTAAACACCTGTAGCCCGTATACCCTGGGCGATTTAAATTTAATGTTACCTTTTGAAAATGGTATATAAAGTTTATTACAATATCTAGTATTTAAATTATGCATATCACCACTCGTTTTAAACTGATGTAAGTTATTAAAAATAAAAACACATAATTCAAAAATATATAGACACGACAATGTTAAAATTTTATATTTTTTAAATATTCTCTACAACTAGTTGGTCGGGAGACACCAGCGACACAACGCAATATTTTCTTTTGTATGACGAAAATACATAAAAACATATCCCGTATCTTAGCCTGGACTCTACGAGTGCATAATAAATCATAATTAGCTGATTTTCTGTCAGAACATATTTTAAATTTCTAATTAGATAGTTAATAGAACTCAACTTCGAAACAACCGCTCCACAATGCAACTTCCAATCCAAACTTTCGTCAATCGTTATTCCCAAAAACTTGCCTGACGACACGGTACCTATTTGCATGTTGTTAAAAGTAAGCTGAATATTTTCCAAGTATTTTTTTTTGTTGTGAAAATGTATAACTTGCGTTTTTTCTGCATTTAGATGCAACGAGTTATCGCAAAACCAAGAATATAAAGATGAAAGAAAATTATTACATTGATGTTGTAGCATTACGTTGGATTTGTTAGATAGAATAATTGACGTATCATCCGCATATATAGTGAAATTTACCGCTCTGTTCACTTGTACGATGTCGTTAATGTAGACTACAAAGAGAATTGGTCCTATTATAGATCCTTGGGGAACACCCATGTTTGTAGTAACAAGACTAGATCCACAACTGGTCACACAATCCTCAATCCTTGTCTGCAGGCTCACATATTGTTGTCTATTGTTT